AAAAGAATATTAAATCAAATAAGATTAAAAGCCAAATAGAATAAAATACAGCAATTGGCTGCAACAATATTAATAGCAAGAAGCAAAAAAAGAAAGACAAGAAAACGATGACATTATGCCACTTTACATGAAACACTAAGAGGAGTTTCTAGGGAGAGTTCCTGAAGAGTTCCTGAGACCGGGGTGATCTATCCTGGAAAGGCCTGCCGGAACAGATCCGTCTTGACAGCTTTTTAAAAGCTGTCTAAAGATGTCAATTGGCGGATTTTGTCTGGCAGGCCATTCCATAGTCTGGGGGTGACAACAGAAAAGCCCTCTGGGAGGTAGTCCAAAGCCTAGATGTTTGTGGCTGCAACAAATTTCTGCCAGAGGATCGGAGTGCGCGGGGAGGATTGTAAGGGAGAAGGCGGTCCTGGAGATAGTTTGGACCCAAGCCATTTAGGGCTTTATAGGTGATAACCAACACCTTGTACTGAGCCTGGAAACTAATAGGCAGCCAGTGGAGGGATCTTAGTACTGGCATAATATGATCCCTCCTACATGTTCGTGACACTATTCTGGCTGCCATGTTCTGTACTAACTGCAGTTTCCGAACCAAGCATGAGGGTAGCTCCATGTTGAGTGTGTTACAGAAATCTATATGTGAGGTTACCAGCATATGCACAACAGTCTCGAGATCCCTTACTTCCAGAAAAGGGTGCAGCTGGCATATCAGCCAAAGCTGATAACAGGCACTCCTGACTATCTCATTCACCTGATTTGCCATCAGGAACGATGAGTCAAGGAGCACAGTCACTGGAGGAGAGTGTGGCCCCATCCAGGATTGGAGGTTGCAGCCCAATTCTTGGTTGCGGGGCCGCTACCGTGAGCACCTCCATCTTGTTCGGATTCAGCTTCAATCTGTTTTTCCTCATCCAGCCCATTACTGCCCAAAGACATTCATTGAGAGAGGAGACGCCATTGTAATTTGAGGCCGATGAACGAGACATGGAGAAATAGATCTGGGTGTAATCAGCATACTGATAACACCCAGCTCCATAACTCCGTATAATCTCACCCAGCGGCTTCATATAGATGTTAAATAACATCTGGGACAGAATAGCACCTTGTGGAAAACCACAGGTGAGCTCTCTTTTGGCCGAGCTACTGTCCTCGAGCAGCACCCTCTGGGACCTTCCCGAGAGGCAGGACCGGAACCACTGCAAAGCAGTGCCTCCGATGCCTAAACCCCTCAGGCGGTCCAAGAGGATGCCATGATCTATTGTATCAAAAGCTGATGAGATCTAGGAGCACCAACAGGGTTACACTACCCCTGTCGATGCTCAGACTCAGATCATCGGTCAAGGCAACC